AATCCAGTACAAAACTATTAGTGAGTCCGTCCAATAATATTCTCTACCAATATGAATTTCTAACGACTTCTTGACCTTTTCTGCAAGTTGTACCAAAAGTTGAGCTCCACATAACTCTAATCTTGGCATCGATAGCGTTTTTATTGGAGCCACCCGCGACTTGGAGCATACTAAGTGCACTTCGGGTGTTCCATTTGCATTAAAACTGCGGAGATATATACACGCGCCATAAGCGCTCTCACTGGCGTCGGCGAATCCATGGATTTCCACGTGGCTGTCTCCTTCCTTAGGGTCGCCCCTAATTCTGCGAGGCACTGTGATCTCTCTAGCGTTTGCTAGATCTTGAATATAGCGATTCCATTCTGCGTTGATTTCCGAGGGTAGTGGATCATCCCAATCTACGTTGCTTCTCCAAATCCTTTGCATTAAAATTTTCGCTCTAGTGATAACCGGACCTAGTAAGCCTAGGGGGTCGAAAATTTGCGCGATTTGCGATAGAACTTCTCTTTTGGTGTGAGATTTTGAATGCGACGTTTGAATTTGGAGTTTATACTGAAAGGCGCCCTCTTCAGGATTCCAGTTGACGCCCAAAGTTTTAGCCGCTCCAGATTTGTCCAACTCAAGTAACTGGTTGTTGACGCGTTACGCACCCCATCGAGTAGACTCTTGCAATTGGAGGCCCATTTTCGCAATTTAAAGCCTCCGGCTACAAGCAATGCAGATACCTGATCTCTAATTTCTACTGCCTCTGCCAATGTGTTTGCTCCTGATATAAAGTCGTCTACGTAAAAGTCTCTGCGTGCCACTGCTGATCCTTCTGGAAATTTATGGGCTTCGAGCACCGCCAATTGTTGGAGAACTTTCGTTGCTATGAATGATGCCGGTGATGTACCGTAGGTCAACGTCAGTAACTCATAAGTTTTTATATCTTCTGAAGGATCATCTCTCCATAATATTCTTTGTAGTGACGTTTGCTCGGTATCCACAAGAATTTGCCGATACATCTTCTCTATATC